CCCCAAAACCCCAAAACCCCAAAACCCCAAAACCCCACAAAGTTTATAAATTTGTTAAGAATATAGCATAATTTTTAAAGGTAATTCTACCCACTTGGCAAGCTCTTAGGAAGCACAGAGATGTGTGCAAGCGGCGAGTACCCTTTAGCAACATTCCAGCTGATATTTTAGCTTAATTGATAAGTATTTGAGGCTAATCTGTTCAAAAATTTACTAGTTCTAGCAGTGTGATTTCCTATCAAAAACTTATTAAAATTTAGAAAATGAGTACTCCTACCAAACACAAATCCATGAACGATGATTTAGCCTTTTTAAAATGCAAAAGTGGGTCATTGAGCAAGAACAGTGTTAAGAAGAACAGGTACAGTAATGTTAAGAGCAGATTTATGGATAACTGCTATGCAATGAAGAAGGATACACCTCCCAGTACCGTAAGCTTGAGACCTTACCAACTTATATAGACCAGTCAGTTCAGTAATATTTCTATGCTCCAACATCAGGAGAGTGACTCTGAAGTACAGAGAATTTCAAAATCGAAGCACAAATTATCAGCCCAAAACTCTTCAATGTCCTTAGCTAATGGGAAGTTTGAGCAAAAGCCTGAATATAACAGGATCAACTGGTATAAATTTTGGGGTAATTTATAGGACAAAGCATCACTCTTCCTCCAGAACTAAGCTCAGCCATGCCCAGTCTTTAACTCCAGTGAGGAATGCTGCAAGAGATAGCCTTCTTGACCACTTGAAGAGGATCAAGCCTCAGAAGAGTAAGAAGAAGACAACGAGGAAATTAAAAACGAATATTTTTAGCAATCCTATTAAAATGAAGTAGTTCTGATTAGTGATAATATAGGAACTTTCTTTCAAATATTAAGCATCATTATAACCCCTCTACACTATCAGGTAGGCTTCTTGGTCTAATTTCATGTATTAGGTTGCTTCTCCATACTAGATGTGAGGGATAGGAACTTCGTGTGGAACAATAACCGTGCTATCTCAGTGATCGACCATTCATCTCCCTCCCAGAAGCTTGAGTCCAAAATCTTTAACAAAGAATTCCTTCCGAAGAACGTTAATAAGGGTAATTTAGAGATTTATTACAAATTTTTAATAAAAATGTCGATCAATTTCTATAGGTAAAAATACAATTTTGCATAATATGAAAGGTAAGCATCCCTCAACAACAGGACTATAGAGAAGAAACTGAGTGATCCTTCATATTCTGAGACAAAGAGAAGTTCATGGTACACTCCTAAATCAATGCTGTTTGCCCCAGATCCAACGCCTGGATCAAAGAAGATCTTCTTCGATTTTTCATCTGACTCAACAGCGCCTACCTCTCAAAGAGGTCTCAGTAAGTACGACACTGATACTTTCGATGTAGAAGAGCATGGCTGAAAGATTGATAGAAAACTTATCAGGAAAATGATCCGGATGAAGAAATCCATTAACTGCAGAATCCAACTTCGGCCTGTAAACATAACCCTAAATGGATCAACAAGGATATAGGTAATTATCTCTTCGCCTCTAATTCTGCCTCATATCTTGTTTTAAAACTTCTGACCTATCAATCTACTCTAGATTACTGAGAACAGCCGATATCAGTACAATAGCTTTTGAGGATGGTCTAATTGCTAGTTGAAGTGCTGGAAGCTTGAACAAGCTAGTTACATGTGCCCTCAAGAGCCATAATAAATTATTGGCCAGTCATCATTGCTTCAACCAGACTTCTACTTGTGGGGTTTTGGGGTTTTGGGGTTTTGGGGTTTTGGGG